CAAATAGCCATTTGGCTACTATATGCCAGGCGCTCCCCGACTGACACAACCACTCTCCTGCTTACCTACCAGCCCCCTTCCCACTGACTTAGTAGAAGAATTTGAAGTAGCAAAACGCCTGGACAAACTAAAATTAAACTGGCTCTATACCCCATTTGACACCAATGAAACTTCAAGGAGTTCAGTTTCAAACCCTTATGCTCCATCATCAATGCTTCTCTCAGTCAAGCCAGATGCCCAGCTGACTGGAGGACCTCTTATGTATCACCAGTGCCCAAGTCAACCAGCCACAATCATGTAAATCAGCTCGACCCTGTGTAATCACCCCAATACCCAGCTAATCTGTGAAAGTTTTGTGTTCGACTGGGCTTATGCTGATATTACGGAGTAAGTAGACCCTCAGCAATTTAGCAACATGAAAACTTCACCTCCACCCTCACTGTCTTGTCAGCTTTCGATTACATATACGCCATCTCGGCGAAAAACGTCTGTAGCTGTAAGCCTTCATTGATTTCACTAAAACATTTATTGACCTGGTGACCACAATATAATCATCAACAAGCTATTGACCCCATAGGGCCCGGAGAGTCTTATACCATAACCTGGGCTTCCTCAGTGACGGCGTAGCTGCTGCAGCTTCGAGGGGGCTGTCTCACCTTTCCAGTCACTCACTGTTGCATCCCCAAGGCACCAAGATGGGACCTCTGCTTCCTTATGCTCATCAATGATGCTCTAAGAAACCCCTGCTGCGCTGGAAATATGTGAAGCGACTCCTGGTGGGATCAAGCGTCAACAATTCTGCTCCCAACTATACGCCCTTCAGGATTTATTGAACAGTCTCCAAAACTGGGCCACCAACAACCATGTCACCATCAACCATACCAAGACCATGGTTATGCATCAACCTCTCCTCCGACTTGTTGTCCACCTCCTTCCATTACTCTAGGTCCAAACACACTCCAGGTTATGCCAGATTCCCACGAAGCTCCTCGGCATCACCATGAACAACAAACTAAATTGGAAACCACCGTCAGTGAAGTTGTCAAATCCTCAGTTTCGTCTCCACCTCCTCCATGCGACTCAAGTCCTAGCAGTTCCTGCCCGAGCTCCTCCAGTGTTTACACAACATTTATACTTCCCAAGCTCACCTATGCCTCCCCCCCACCTGGTCTTCCTCCCTAAATGCCACACAGCGTAAACACCTAGAAAAAGTGCAAAAGAGGGTATGCAAGATTATTCTCTCCCCTTCCTACTCCACATATCAGAAGCGGCTCAACACACTGACCCTTCGACTCTCACTGACCATCACCCACGACTCATCCTGCAAATTTGGTAGAAGCTTCTACACCATCCTCGACACGGCTCCTACTACTACCACCTGAAGGATCCCTAGTCCGAGAATTGCTGTTGCCGACACTACAGCCGCATCCAGCCCATCGTGCCGCGAACTGAAAGTCGCTATAAGAACAGCCCAGTCCCAACCATTGTAAATTATCAATAACCTTAATAAACCGGTGTATTCACTCCCAGTAACACTACTCCTTGCACTGTCACTATGTTGCAGAATGAACTGTAGTTTGAGCTTTTACATCTAGTTATTATATATATGTATTTGTGTCACTTATGTTACTTGTATATTATTTGTAATTCGAAACCCATTCCCCAAATATGTAACTGTATATTTTCAGCCTTCTGGCTGCCAAGCTCTTTCAATAAACCGTTAATTATTATTATTATTATTATTATTACATACATACATACATACATACATACATACATACATACATACATATATATACAGTATATATATATATATATATATATATATATATATATATATATATATATATATATATATATATATATATATATATATATATATATATATATACTACTTATATATATATATATATATATATATATATATATATATATATATATATATATATATATATATATATATATATATATATATATATATATATATATATACAACAAAAATATATGTACAAAAAATAAATGTTAAATGAATTATTTATGATGCATTAGGGTATGGTCTCAGACACAAAAGAGCGGGCTATAAATAGCCTTAACATCTCCCTCCATCACCGTGAGCCAGAGGGGGAAAGGGTGGTGGTAAATAACATTTTGTTTGCTTATTTTCCATTTACTTGAAATAAGATTTACCCGAATTATTTGTTTTATTTATTTAAAAGTCATTTACTGAATATTCTATGTAAAAATAGAACAAATTAGTTATTTATAGGAGATACGTAAATATTATGATCAGTAAATATATGGTATTACTGGCCACTTCAGACACAAAGGCGGGATAAAATAGCCCATCTCCCCTCTTCTTACAACACCAATGGGAGGCGTCTTGTGAGTAAATTTGATGTTTATTTTCATTGTCCTAATTTATCATGTATCAAAGTAGTATTACTAAAAATTGTATAGGTAGTAGGCAGCTACCAAACAGGTGATACTACCGCCTGGGAAGATATTGGAAGCATAATGTGTTGTCTAATGGTGACCCTGCTGCCCATTAGCATCGAAAAGTGACCAAGTCCCAGGTTCAGCGCTGACCTGACTTTCTGCCTCATTTACACACAATTGCAGTTTGAATTGTTCCTCTAACTTTGACAACACAACATACATACAGTATATTATTTCTCACTTTTGATCTTTTTTTTACTTTTTGTATTTATTTATGGTTAGTTACTTTAAATAAGGCCAATTCACTTCAAGTAATGGCATCAAATGTTACCAGCTGGTGTAGTGTAAACACTAGTGACGTCACTTAAGCGTCTGTATTTAACTGTCAGTAGTTTCAAGAATTAATGCAGTCATTTACTGAATATTCCTTGTAAAAAAATAAATTTTAAGTATTATTATCAGTAAATATACCGATATGCATTACTGACCACCTCCACGGCTAAAAATAGCCCAATCTCGCGGTCACTTTCCCTTTCTTGTCTCCTCACTGGCAAATGGGGCGTGGGGAGGGGTGTGTGATGATAGCTGTGTTTATTACAGGGGTATAATTCTCTTTTACGGTATGTTAGACAGGTTTATAATACATTTTTATTATTTTAATATACCGGTAATCTTAATTTGAATCCAGCTTGCCAAATGTAAGTTTCAGTATAAAATAATTAGTGGTAAGACCTTGTGAGTGGCTTACGATGTTTCCATCACCACTCTTGACACACGAAACCACAATATTTAAGAGGTAAGAATTTTATACTTGGTGGTTTAGACGACCCCCTAACTTTGGGCAGATTTTTTTAATGTTCAAATTCCGTCTTATAAGCCGAGACATACGGTAGTCTTTCGTGGGGGACTCTGTCGAAGGCTTTGCTAAAGTCGAGATATACCATATCATAATTGTGCCCCTCGTCCACCGATTCGAAAACTGATGAAAAGAATGTTAATAGATTAGTTAGGCAAGAATGTCCGCTTGTGAAGCCATGCTGGGAATCATTGATCAATCGGTGCTTCTCCAGGTGATTTCGAATTGAGTTTGAAATGATTGCTTCCAGTAATTTGCCTACTCTTGATGTTAGACTGATTGGGCGGTAGTTAGAGGATAGTGATCTATCCCCCTTCTTGAAAATCAGTATTACATTTGCTATCCTCCAGGATTTTGGTACTACACCTGTTTTTAAGGACATGTTAAACAACTTTGCTAAGGGCATACTAAGCTCTTCCTTACATTCCTTTAATACTCTGGCAAATATCTCATCGGGACCAGGTGACTTATTAGGCTTTAGTTTGTCTATTTGCTTACTAACATCATTACTAGTCACTACTATTTCACTTAATTTGTTTTCTTCACTATCTCTGAATAGGGTCGGTGCCTCGGGTATCATGTTTAAATTTTTGGTGGTGAAAACTGTTTAAAAATATTTATTCAAATTATTGCTCATTTCTCTGTCGTTATCAGTGAGCTCGCCGGAGTCTGACCGTATTGGTCCAATCTTTTCTCGTGTTTTAGTTTGATACATTTGGTAGAATCCTTTGGGGTTTGTCTTCGCCTCCCTTGTTATCCTTACCTCATTATTCCTCTTTGCTTTCCTTATCTCGGTTTTAACCCTACTCGCCAATACCCTATAATAGTCCCGGAGGTGAATTTCGCCACGATTTATCCTTCTACCTATAGCCTTCCTTTGGCCAATGATGTTCTTTAAATAAATATTTATCCATTTAGGGTCATTGTTGTCTGATCTGAGTTTTTTGCATGGTATGTCCTGCCTTTGTGCATTAAGTAACTCACTATTAAATTGTCGTGGAACTCGGCAATCTCAGATCTCGTTATCAGGTCGGTGTCATCTGTCAGGTTCACGGCCAAGCGCGACACCCCCTCTCTCAGCTGCCTCTTCAAACTGTCAAAGTTTGCCCTTCTGAAATCTGGTACTTTAGTAGAATTTTCCTTACGTCTGCCCTGAAAATCTAACTGGAATCGAATTTCTTTGTGTTCGCTGTTTGCAAGTTCGTTCCCTACCTCGACATTGCTAATGAGGTTTTCTCTGTTCGACAGAACTAAATCGAGTATATTATTACCCCGTGTGGGTTCGGTTATATGTTGACTTAGGAAACAGTCCTGGATTGTCTCGAGAAAATCCTCTGATTCTGAGTTACCCGTAAGGTCAGTCCAATCTATTTGGCCAAGGTTAAAGTCGCCTACTATACAGACTTTGTTGTGTATGGAAGCCCTGCGCATTTCATCCCAGATAAGTCGCTCATTGACGATATCAAGATTGGGGGGGTCTATATATTACTCCTGTGATTAATTTTTCCCGACCGTCGCTTAATTCTATCCAAATTGTTTCTGTATTCCTCTCAGTTTTTATTTCCTTATTTATTTCACACTTCAGATTATCCCTAATATAAATTGTTATTCCGCCTCCTTTCCTTTCCTGAAATGTACCAAGTTAGAAGATGTGAGTAGAGTTGTATAGAACTCCAGCTATTTGTTTAACCCTTTTGTTTTCTTTCAGATTTACGACTGTTGGTTCGCCTGGCGCTACATCTCATATACCAGCTACTTAACTTCATCTGCAACCAGAATGTGTAAGTTTTCTCACACCATCACTGTCACACCATCAGCACAATAGGATCAGTGAACATTTTACTGGAGGTTACTTGGTGATGCACTTATACTTCATGGATTACCAAAGACAAATCACATCAATTGTCTTATGAAGGATCACGTGAAGATTTTCTCCCCCAACTTCAGTTCACCTGATTAAACACCCTAATGCTACCTGGAGGTTGGGCTAGGTTTAGTTAAAATTAGGTTAATATTTGGGTGGTTTATCTTAAGCTGGGGGACTAATCTTCAGATGATGTTTAGTTTCTTTCATTTTGATAAATGTTTTAGTAGTTTTTTACACTTCTAGCAAGTTAATAATGATCCCTTGTTTTATCTACACGGGAAGTACTATACATCCATTGGTGGTTAATTATTATGGACGTAGAGGAGGAATCTTTAGAGGAATAAAAATAAGAACTGAGAAGTAGTGCAATGTTAGCTGAGAGGCATAGCTGGTGCAACTGTGGTGTACAAGAGTGAAGCGTGGGCTGTAGTACTAGGCTGGTAGAATTTATGTTGTGTACAGAATGTTGTGGGTTTTTTTTTTTATAACTGAGAAGGGGAGACAGAGGACTGAGAATAATATATTGAATGAAGAAATAGGAGATTTATGTAAAAAGAAAAATATGTCGAAGGTGCCATAAAAGTACAGTAGAGAGAGATGAACGAAAACAGAAGGACATTTAGAGTTTAACATTCATAGAGAAAGAAGGCTAAAAAAAATAACATACAGGAACCTCTCTATTTACACAATAAATACGTTCCTGAAAATGGTCATGTAAAAATCAAATGGTGCAAATCATAGATATTATGGGATTTTGTTATTAATAAGAATACAGGTATACATGGTGAGTTGTGGGGCCCTTTAAGTTCTAAGTTAAAGGAGAGAGAGAGAGATATGAGTAGAGTGGTAGCTTATATGGATGATGAGTAGAGTGGTGGATTATATGGATGATGAGTAGAGTGGTGGATAATATGAATGATGAGTAGAGTGGTGGATTATATGGATGATGAGTGTATCCAAAATGGACAAAAATTGTGTTGCCCTCAGGTAGAAATGGTTGGGGGGTGCATATTCTAGCTTAGGGGGACATTGAGAGTCAGTGCTGTAAACATAAATAAGTCTTTGTTGGCTTGTCCTTGTGTTAAAAGTGGGGAATTGAGTTGCAAGAGGAAGGCCTGTAATTATAAGCTATAATTTGTTGATTTTTATCTGAATCATGAAGGATTTTGGGTGTATGCTATGGTGGCTGCTCAACTAGTCTGTGTTATGTCAACGGCCTAATGTAAATGTCATTGTTTTTAATTTTAAAGATCATACGAAGAGAGACCAATATCCCGCCTTCCAAACCCCTTCCGAGACGAGGAGACGGGTGGTGCAGGAGACGGTGAGAGGGGAGACCTTCCTCCCCAGATGGCCTTGGATCTCGAACCTGGACTACATAATCTCACCACTCTACTTGAAACAGTGAGAATGGCCAGTGAAGAACTACGAAATGATAGTGTGGGGGATGGAACCGGGGAGTCTACTCCAACACAAGAAAGTGCAAGACCTAACACAAATGTGCCACGACATATGTCGGATTTTGTAAGAAGTTCAGGAAACAATGGACCCGGGGAGTCTACTCCAACACAGGAAAGCACAAGACCTAACACATTTGAACCAAGACGTCTGTCAAACTTTTTAAGACGTTCTGGAAACGATGGACCCGGGGAGTCTACTCCAACACAGGAAAGCACAAGACCTAACACAAATGTGCCAAGACATATGTCAGACTTTGTAAGAAGTCAAGGAAACAATGGACCGAGGGAGTCTGCTCCAACACAGGAAAACATAAGAGAATACTCTGAAATATCGAGACATCTAGCGAGCATTGTAAGAAATTGCGGAAGCGATAGAACCGGCAGGGAGCTTCCAATGCAGGAAAGCAGAAGGCATATCAGATTTGAGCCAAGACGTCTGAGAGACTTTTTCAGAAGCCCAAGACAGGTTTATGAAGCGTTGTCTCGAGTACAGGAAAGCACAAGACCTAACACATTTGAACCAAGACGTATGTCAGACTTTCTAAGACGTCCAGGAAACGATGGACCTGGGGTGTCTACTCTATCACAGGAAAGTACAAGACCTATCACAAATGTACCAAGACGTCTGTCAGACTTTCTAAGACGTTCAGGAAACTTATCACAACATCAAGATACAAATGGAGGGTTTGGACGGGCGGGGTGCTTGGGTTTCCGCAGCAGCTCTCCACGACCCCAGTTGGTGATCCCTCGCATTACCCTAAGTGACCCTAGTGGGAGTGAGAGTCAGGTGGAAGAAGAAAGTTCACTTTCTGGACCCACACCTGGACCTTCCCATAATGACCAAGCAGATTTCAGTACAAGATCAGTGTCAGGGGTGCCCCTACGACTCCTAGGTCGACAGTACGCCGTTGATCGACGTAGCCCAGACTCTGAAGATTCCCCTGGTCCCCTTGATGGAGTTCAGGATGGACCAAGTCATCCCCCAGAACCACCATTTCCCTGGAGGGGACACTTAGCTCCATATGATATAGGACTTCCCAGGGGGCCTGGTTCAGAGATGCTCTTCCGTCCTAATCTTCAGCGTGCACCACCTGATCGAGCAGCAGAGAGGGAAGCCGACAACTTCTTCAGTAGACCGCACTTTACACCTCACTTTGGAGCATCAAGAACAATATCAG